TAAAGTTTCTCTTTGAAACCACACTGGTTAGAAATTGCTTTCAAATGCCCTAACTTTTCCCCCAGAAGTCCCCCTCCTTAGACAAACAGTGTTAATACATGGATGGCCTTCTCTGTAATACAGATAATGGGAAAGTCTCCATAGTCTTTTCTCCTTTAGTCTTTATCCTTTTTTTTCCCCCAAGGTCTTTTCTCCTTGGGTTATTCAAAACCAAAAATCACCTCCATGCTACAACCTCAGCCCTTGCTAGATGTATCTGTACCTTCCCAGTAAAATCACCCAGTAAATACATGGACTTTCCATCAGTTCCATCTTCTCCCATAACCCACCACCAAAGGTGAATGCTGAGTTTTGAGTGATGTCAGGCAGGGAACTTGCTCAGCCTGCATGTTGGTTGGAAACAGGCAGAGTTTGGCTGCCTAGGCTGGATTCTGGGGGGGAAGAGCAGAAGAAACAGAAAAAAAGATTTTCAGGGACTTCCTGCCCACAGAAAATACTAAAATCCCCACAGAGCAGTGATCAAGCACAAGTCGTAGCCCTGCTGCCCAGCGAGCACATTATGTGTGGAGATGTGTATTTTATAGATACCCAACGTTCAGCCTCTCTGATTGCCCTGACAATAAACATCCAACATTTAACACATCACTGAAGTTAAGGATCATTTGTGACGCATTAACATTCACTTCTGTGTGCTGCACATCCAACAGGGAACATGCAAACTTACCCGACATAAAATAAATCTTTGTGCACTTCAAAGACAGACACCCATTAAGATGAATCATGTGTTAATCATTATTACAAATCTGAACAAAATACACCATGTATTTTCCATCATCTGTTTGCTTACCAATGCTGCAGCTACAAAACAAGCTTTCTATCAAGGCTGTAACACATCCTAACCCACCCTGCACACAGTGAAAGCTAATTAACTGTAACATTATGGTGCTGGAAAACCCTTGTGGTGTTAGGAAGGGCTCAAGATCTTCAAGGTTCCTCCTGTAATTTTTGTTAAACATGGAATTTCAAACCTTGTATTTGATAGATTTTCTCCTTCAGGCATTTCATTGCAAGAATTTTTTATAGAAGCTTACAGCAACTGCAGCCAACAACATCCCAAGCATTAGGAAGGGGCTGTGTTTATAACCAATTTACTGATATCTGGTTCCAGAGCAGCTCCACACTGCTTTAGTGGACCCACTTCTGTCTTTCAGGTGTTACCAAAAATCAAAGGATGGCCAGGATGCTGACCTGTAGCTATTCTGTGCTTTCTTCAGTGCCATCTCCCCCTCTTTTCTATGCCTTTTTGGACAAGGGCCACAACTACAGGCCTCACAGCCCCCAAACCCCCTCAATACCTGATTTTCTCACGGAGGCCTGGAACTGGCAGGTTTTTCCTCCCAGTCATCCTCAGTCACCAGCTTGGCTTGTGAATAAGGCAGGGAATGAAGAGGTGCACAACTGCAGACATCATGGGAAGGAGTTAACTCCCTTTTTCTTTGGGATCACTAACACTGAAAGACCCCCTTGCTTAAACGGTGATAACAGGCAGGACTGGGTAACAGGCTGCTCAGCACACCTGTGTGGGGAACAGACATAGAACCCATTACCTACAGATCATGTCATAAACACCCTTTTGCTCTTGCAGAACACACATTAACAGCATCCACCTGAGCCCATACCCCATAAACATGTTATACCTCACGTGTTCCTAGTAAACCAGTTGCGGAGCCTTAAGAAGTGTTTAATACTTGACCAAGATCCCAAAGCACTTCAAACATGACCGGAAACAAGTGATTAACATGTTTTTAGCAAACATGAAGTCACCCCCAGAATGGGCCATTACCCAGTGGAGCGCATGGGCTGTGGGTATAAATGGGAAGGTTCCAGCAGAGCTCCGCACTCAGCGTGGCTGGTCCCTCCTGCCCTGCCCACACCAGGCACGAAGAACCCTCAGCACCATGAGGGGCACAGCGCTGGCACTGGCCTGTCTAACTCTCCTGATCGTGGCACAGGGAGGACAAGGGGAAGGAAACACTGTGAGGCTCTGTGGGAGAGACTTTGTCAGAGCTGTCGTGTTCACCTGTGGTGGCTCGCGCTGGAAGAGGCATCTGACTGATCATCGCTATCTCTTGGGTAAGTACCAATTGAAGCATCACAGGCTCATCCCCAGTGCATCCAGCTCCAAGGGGACTCAGAAGCAGCACAGTCCCTGCAGGCTGTGCCTCGGGAGCCCTCCACTCCCACTGTTCCCCTCAATAGCTCCAGCACCAGCAGCATGGGCTGTGCTGGGAGACAGTAAGCGAAGCACTGCAGCTCCACGTGTTCTCTCTCCTTCCAGCTTGCCTAGCTTAGCTCCCTGTGCTATTTTGCTAAAAAAAAAAAAACATTTAGCTCAAGATTTTTCAAGTCTACCTGAGGAACAGGAGCAAAACCAAGGCTATCATTGAAAATCTCTCTGCCATCTCGTTTCAAGTGCCAGCAGTGAGCTTTGCTGCAGGCAATGCAAGTGTCTTACTGCTGCCTGCACTTTCCCCACTAGAAACCAGAAACTTTATCACAACTTAAGAATATTATAAATAAAGCATGTTGAATATTTACTCTGCAGTTTAAGTATCTTCACAAGCTGTCGTATATATCTATACTCATTAGCGCATTTTTGGATAGCAAGAAAATTCAGCCATTACATGCACTGCTAGGAATTTGCACTCTGACAGATTAAAATAAATAGAAAATAAGAAAATAACTGAAGCAGATGACAGGAATAGAGACTTTCTGCACTTCCCACACCTGCATTTTTGGAAAACTTCTTATAGCAGCAGCTCTAAACAAATACAAAAAGAAATGCCACCCACAACACCCTCCGTGAGAGTCTGGTGCTAAACTAAGCAAGAACTACTACACCTTTACAAACTCCAGAGGGCAGTGCCCAGATGTCCAAAAGTGTTTGAAATGCAGCTGAAATGCTAGTGTAATTGAAGTGGGAACACCCAGGACTATGAAATTGTGGGGTAGGTGATGCCTTAATGCAAAACTTGCATATCAGGAATCCCACAGGCAGGCCCAAGTTAATGTGCCAGTCAAGTGCCATTTACACATCTAACCACAGTTTTTCCCTTGGAAGCAAATATATCAGTGTAAGACTGACAAGGCAACAAAGAATACTCTTAAATATAAATCCATGAATTACTGGGTTTTTAAACACATTGCTCAGACTGTGAGCAAGTCAGTGATCTGGTACATGTTGGTTGCTCACATCAGAAACATGGAGTGTTTCCCTCCCCGGCTGTAGGTTGGTGTGTCTTTCTAGTAAAGATAAATACTTAAATTACTCATCTTTCCGTGACTTCTAACTCTTAGCTTCTAATTTTTATGCCCCAGAGAGTGAAAACCCCCAGCCTTTCCCACACAACGGTGACGCCGACTCCTCAACCTACACAGACCAGAGACTGGGGACCGACCGCGAAGAAACCCACGAGGTCAAGTCCAAGCCGGAGCAAGACTTGCACATCAGCAAAATGTCTGTGCTAAGCAAGCGTGAGGCAGCCAAGCTGCTCACCACATCCTGCTGCAACGTGGGCTGCAGCAGGAGGGAGATCAGCTCCCTGTGCTGAAACGGGGCTGCTGAGGCTCAATATCACAGCTTCCATGGATTAAAATAATCATGACATAAACCACAATTAGTTCGGTTGTGTTCTTTAATTGTAGCTTTACCTTTTGAGTGTTAAATGTCATAGTGCACACTAGCAAGTGGTTGCAGTGACAGTTCAGGTTGACTGGGTTTCACAGGGTTTACAAGAGGTTTAGTTAAACTCATTCATGAGTACAAATATTTCTTTCTAACTAACTACTCTTCTAGTTTCAGCTTTGCATGTAAAATGTAATAAAATAAGCAATTTATGATAGGTTTGTTCTCTTACTCAGGAAAATCCAACAGCAGGTTTCAGCTGGGAAACAGGAGAAGCAAAAAGTCTGGTTTCAGAATCAGAGGAAGGCACAGGAAGCTCTGTCACACTACAAGGTCAGCCAGACCCCAACCAGTGGGGAACGGCTGCAGCAGGAGAGACCTGGGACCATCAGTCCCAGCATCTAAACTGGATGGGCATAAACCCACAGTTTATCTCCTAATCCAGCTGCTTTCAATAACATTTCCCTTAAGTCCAATTAAACAGACAGTTAATTTGCACCCAGGGAGACTGAAAGCACACTTCTGAGCTGAGGGCTCTTATCTAAGGGCAGGTATTGGCTGAGAACCGCAGCTGAAATTCAGTATTCTCGATTCAAGCACTTTCACTAGAAGGGCCCAGATATGTCAGATTTATATACTCTAAACACAGTATCATTTAAAGACAATTTTCACTTCATTTCACTGGTCTTCTTCTTCCTAGATGGAGAGGGACTGACAAGGCCATGGAGTGGCAGGACAAGGGGGAATGGTAGCAAACTGAAAGATGGCAGGGTTAGATTGGAAATTGGGAAGAAATTCTTTCTCGTGAGGGTGGTGAGGCCCTGGCATAGGCTGCCCAGAGAAGCTGTGGCTACCCCTCCCTGGAAGTGTCCAAGGCCAAGTTGGATGGGGCTTGGGGCAACCTGGTCTAGTGGAAGGTGTCCCTGCCCATGGCAGGGGGTGGGACTGGATGAGCTTTAAGATCCCTTCCAACCCAAAGCAGTCTGGGATTCTATGATTCAAGCAGAACTAGCTACCTTCTCTCAGCCACCTTTTCTGTGCTCAGGCCTGGCATGCACTGAATGCCTGCAAACATCATTAACAAGAGATTGTTTTAAAATGCTCTTGTTTTACTCTCCAAAAAACCCTCTGTGGTTTCTGCTCGGGGATCATGGAATGAAGGCAAATTCAGGGAGATAAAAACATTATAGGGAATATTCTTAAAATATTATTTTCCCTGCAGGGAAAGTTCTGAAAGTAGCAAGAATTAGGTGCAAAACAGTGTGTCAGAGAGAACCACTTCCCAGAGAAAGCTCTGGGAAACAGTTAATTACATTTACCCAAAGGCTCACAGTAGCCACATTTCAAAACAGGTGAGAGCACTTTGGTCCTTCACAAATGTTTTCAACAACAGAAACAGGAAGAGTTAGGCTGAACTTCCATTTCTTCTGCTGTTAAGCTCAACTACCTCCCTATTCAAAATACACACCATAGACATTTGCAACAGCAAACAGGGAAGTGTTCTTGAACACATACGATGAAAACGTGTCGCTCACAGGATCCCACAGGCACCTGCTCCCAATCTGCATGCTCTGCTCATCCAGCTGCCCAATGTGTGTCACCACCACAATCTTGTACCGTGGGATCACAAGGTCTTTCACCCGCGCTTTAACCATCTGCAGGAGAAAAACAAGTTTAGTCCATGTGTTCAAAGATGGAGACAGACGTTTAGCAGGGCAGGACAAGGGGAAATAGTATTAAACTGACAGAGGATGGGGTTAGACTGGATATTGGGAAGGAATCCTTCCCTGTGAGGGTGGTGGGGCCCTGGCACAGGTTGCCCAGAGAAGCTGTGGCTGCCCCATCCCTGGAAGTGTCCAAGGCCAGGTTGGTCAGGGCTTGGAGCAGCCTAGTCTGGTGGAAGGTGTCCCTGCCCATGGCAGGGAGTGGAACAAGATGAGCTTTAAAGTCCTTTCTAACCCAAACCATTTTATTAACTCGTATCCACGTGCACCCTCCTCAGAGCAACCCTCCTCCACCCTTTATTTCACACTTTATAGGTATTTTGGGGGATATCTGGGGAGCTCCCCAGCAGCCACCTCCCTCACACCCCATCGAACCATGAGGGCAGAATATCCACCTGCTCCCTCCTACCTCAGCGATGTCCTTCGCCACCTCCCTGCACTGCGCCGGCTCGTAGCGCTGCTCCCTCAAGTAACTCTCCACCACATCCCTCAGGATCTCATCCACTGCTGCCCCCGGGAAGCGCTTGGAAGGACCTGTGAGGCAAAGCTCGGGCTTATGAGGAAAAAGCTGCCGGGCGGAAGGCGGTTTGGAGGTGCAGTCGTACCCAGACCCACCCGAGCGGGGGTCGCTCATGGCCGCACCGCCATCCATCCCCTCAGCGCTCCTCCACCCCCTCGGCGGAGGGAGGCGGAAGGGCGGCGGCCAGTGCCGGGCGGCGGCCACCGGGAGGGGGAGGTCGCCCTCCCCGGCCCCTGCGTTCCCGGCCTCCGCCTGTGTGCTCACAGCCTCCCGGGGGACTGTGTATTCCTACGGCTGCCCTGGGTCCCCATAGCTTCCACCAGTCCCTATAACCTCCCACAGGTGTCCGTATAACCTCCCACAGGTGCCCATGGCTAGCACAAGTCACCACAGCTTCCATAGGTCCCTGTGTGCACTTAGAGCCCCCTAGGTCCCCATGGCTTTCACAGGTCCTGGTGTCCCCTTACATCCCCCACAGGTTTCCCATGGCTCCCACAGTCTCCACAGGTCCTTGCATGTCCCCGCAGCCCCCTCAGGTCCCCATGGCTTCCACAGGTCGCTGTATTCCCTCACAGCCCCCACAGGTCCCCAGAGTCCACAGGTCCCTGCGTGTCCTCACAACTTCCACATGTCCCCACGACTTCCACATGTTCCCACAGACTCCCCCAAGGTCCCCACAGTATCCACAGGTTCCCACGTACACCTAAAAGTCCCAGGTCCCTGTGGCCCCCACAGGTCCACACAGCCTCCCCCAAATGTCCCTATGGTCCCCCTGTGGGTCGCCATGGGTTCCTATAGCCCTCACAGATTCCTATGACCCCTGTGGATCCACATAGACCCCACATGTCCCTACAGTCCTGACATATGCTCATGGCCTCCATGGGTCCTCTCGAGCTCCATCCGTCCCCGTGGTCCCTGTGGATTCCCAATGTCCCCACATGCCAACCCTGACCCGTCCCCATGTGGGACACTGTGCATAACTCCAGCAGCGATGACAGGTTTTGGGCCAGAGATGATTTTTTCTGGGTAAGGGACCCTTTTTTGGTCCAGCCCCCGATACCTCTGCCCATCTCCTCTGGCTTCTCTTGCTTATGGAAGCAAAGCTCACTCAGAAAAAGTATTGTTTTACTGGTTTTGTTTATTTTCAAGGAAAAAATAATAATCACATTTAAATTGCAACTCAATTGGGTATTTAATGTGGATCTTATGTATAGAATTAATAAACTTTGTTCTGACATGGGGATTTATCTGTCGCAACGTTATGCGTGGTAAATAATTGCATATTCGAGATTCGGTGAAATGGGTGACAGGGAGAATGGAGGAGAGACATTTATAAAAAACAGTATTTACAAAAATGATATCCACATAGTTGTACTCTAATCTATAAGGCAAGTAACATTTAAAATATGTTGTTTCATGATTATCTTCAACAAGTCAATACAACACATTCATATTACCAGTGGTCAAATACAAAGCTTCGCTGCAGTAGTCCCTGTGCAACAAACCTGTACGTCTTTTACAGTTTTTTTTTTCTCTGAGAACAGTAGGAAAGCAGCAAAGTTTTCATCACAGACTAAGCAGTACCTAGGCCATCATAGACTAAAGGTATAATACATCTCATTGCACGTTTAGGCAAAAAAGGCCAGCCATTCATTAACTTATTTAACTTAAATCTTAAAAATAGACCTGTGTATCTTAATCCACAAATATTTATAAACATTTTATACATGAGGGAGTTAATAAAATGATACAGGGTGATACCTGGGGAAATCTGATTCACTGCTGGGGTGTCCTGGTGAGGTTCTCCTGCATTCCATGCCCTCCACCCACCAGCCCTGGCTGCAGGAGAGGAGCTTCACAACACATCCCAATGGGATTCCTCGCTCACCACAATGAACATCTCCACATGTTTTATATAATCCAAGCAACCAGGTGATTTCATCAACCTTAAAGCATTTTGGAGTGGAAAAGCCCATCCCTGTGTGGATGAGAAACCTGACAGCAGGATGGCTGTACCCAGAAAGAGTGGGATTTCTAATGGAGGAACAAGATATCCCAAATACCTCACTAAAACCTGTTGTGTTTCACCACATCCTGCATGGCCTGTTGCAGAGTCCTGCTTGTCTGAAAACCTTGGAAGAGCATCACCACTTTAACGCTCATGGTTTCAAGAACCATTGCCAGCAGCATCATCCCTCCTAAAGGGAAAGGGAAGGCAGGAGCAGGGTGTATTCCTGCAAATCTTTTCCTAGCCTTGCAGTGAAATAAGAATTAAAATCCTGATTGAAATAAGAACTAAAATCCTGATTATCATAAAACCTCCCCAGCTCTGCAAGGATTACTTTCCTTGGGAAATGGTGAGAAAAAGAAGAACAGAAGAATTCTGGCTATGAAATGAAATCTTTGAGGCAGTAATTTCTTATCAGGAAAGTATGACATGATGTTACATATAAAATATGTCAAGCTTCAAAATTAAGTGCTTTAACCAAGATGTTTTCACATAGAATGAACAGAAGAGTAGGGGAAAAACCACTCCATACTTAGTGTATGGATGTGAGGTTTTTTTAAGATGTTGGGTGTTTGGGTAACAGATCCATGGGCTGTATGTCAAAAAAAAAGGTGGAATGGAGCAGGATTCCTCTGTGACCCAAAACTGCCCCAGGTGCCCAGTGGGCCTGGAAACAGTTGCTGACAGAGATTGGTAGCCAAGGATGAGGTCTGAATGTTTTTAGTAAAAGATGTTTGATTCCTTCTTAAGTCTTTTAAAAATCTTCTCAGTGCACTCCAGTCTTCTAAAATGCCTCTGCTGGGAGAAAGGGAAGTGGTAACTCTTTATGTGATACTTGTGCTGGAGGAATCTTGGGTGGCTGCAGCCTTCCCTCTCCATCCTCTTCCTGCCTGGCTAAAACAGGATAACATTCCAACAGAAATTTCTAGGTTTTTCCCATCTATGTTTTAAAAAACTTTTAATAGATAAAACCTGAAAGGGCAGATCAAAGGCAAAGTAATTTAAATGAAATCCTGAATGACAGAAAAAACAAGAATTATTGAACAGGAGAGTGATATTTAAGAGGCACCAAATGCAGGCACCAAATGAAAAGCTCATTATTTGGTAGTATTTCATACTAGTGAGTGATTTCATAGTTATTAAGAAATACTGTTAAAGTAGAAAATTGGTCTGAAAGGTCTCCTGTGAGGAGCACCATAAGCTGACTGAGAATCCTGACTGCTTACAACAAACAGGAGAAAAATTACCAAAAAAATTTACTTCCTGCTCTTGACATCTAAAAACCCAAGTCTTCGGGTGTCTGTGGGGGAAAACCCTCCTGCTCCATCAGAGGAACTTTGACTCTGCAGGTGTGGGCTGCTGAAATTCCCAGGGGAAAATTCCTCTGGGAGAGGTTGCTGAGACACAGTCTAAAGGGAAGGGTCCATGGGAGTAACTGAGCTAAAGCCTTTCTATGCATGCATCCATATATTTTTATTTAATGCCTCCTTTATTTGTCCTTTTTTTCACTCAGATAGATCAAAGTGCTGCTGAGCTCAGGAGTGCTAGAGCTGGGCAGTGCCAGAGGGCTGAGCCCCCTTTCCAGCCTCAGTCTGACTTGGCAAAAGACCTGCTGAACCACATGCTGGGAAACAGAGCAGTGGTGCTTCCCGCTAGGATTGCTCCCAGGGCTGGAGCTCCTCTGCTCTGGAGACAGGCTGAGAAAGCTGGGGGTATTCATCCTGGAGAAGAAAAGGCTCCAGGGAAATCTTAGAGCCCTTCCAGTGCCTAAAGGGGCACTGGAAGGGGACTTGGAGAGGGACTTGGGGTAAGGGCTTGGAGTGATAGGACAAGGGGGAATGGCTTCCCACTGTCAGAGGGTAGGGTTAGATGGGATATTGGGAAGTAATTCTTGGCTGTGAGCGATATACATCCCTATACATGCTCCTATTTGATGCTCTACATTAAACACTCAGACCAACCTAAGCTGCTACCCATAACCTTTTTCTGCTGAGACCTTCTCAAAGCCAGGCAGGAAGACCAGGCTCCTGCACTTTGGACTTGGGAACAACAGTTGTGTTCCCCGCATGGGGTAACACTGGGGTGCCACATTCGTACGTGCAAGACAAACGCCCAGCAAAACCAGCATCCCTGTGGCACTCTGCTAAAGCACTATGCAAAAAACCTGGCCAAAGCAGTATGGAGGGAACCTGTCCTCTGTCCCAAACTGCTGGTTTTGGTCCCGGTGTTGTGGGTTTGGTGTCACCTGCCCATGGCTGGAGGGAAAACCGTATCCCTGTGGGGCTGGAAGTGTGATGGCACATTGGACACAGCCCTGCCAGCCAATTCACCCCAGAAAGTGCACAGAACTGTCCCATCTCTCTACCTAGGCCACAGGAGCTGCATCCCAAAAAAGTGACTCCATTTTGTGCTACAGCACAAATGGGACGAGCTTGGAAGCTTTGGGTTATGGGTTTTTCTGTTTAAAAAGCATTCAAAAACCCAATGCTATGTAAACACCTTGTCTCTCGAATGAAATATAAAGTAAAATCTCTATGTTCTGGGAATATTTACACAATAAACCCCTTATTTTTGGGCCTATGCCATAGATCTCTTTTGGAAGAATGAGTTTGTAACAGTTGTACACAGCATGAAGTGATGTGATTCTTAGGGTTTGCCCTGTATTCCTGTGTCAGAAAGGGGTGGGTTACACACTTTATACATATTTCCAGTTCAGGGGGAAAATCATTAATGGAGTGGGACACTCCATCCAGGAGCACTGCTGAGTGTACTTCCAAAATCTGCCAAGATGTGGGAAGTTGCAGAACCAAATTGTGCTTTATCTTCCCTGTTGCTGCCTTTTGTGAATGCACACACACAGCTCACCCCTCAATCTTACAAATCACAGCCTGGGAGTCACCTCAGACCTGAAATATCTCCAAATTTCCTTATTTTTTTTTCAGATGGGCACCGCTCTCTGTTTTTCTACATCAATTCAAACTGCTCAATAATCAAGCACATCCTAACATGCTCAGTCTAAGTTTTCCTATGCAAATGCACAAGCCTAATCCTGGCAACATTTGTGACTGTAAAATCAGAACTATTTGTCATCTTACACATTCCCAAAGTCTCCAGCACCCAGTTCAGTGGATGCTCCTGAGCTTCTCTGT